TCTAATCAAGCACCTAATGCTTCGAGTATCCAAACAGGGTGCCGAAGTCGGTCATCAACTAATATGCCTCATGTCTTAAGTGATCGTGTGGAGATAACACACAAATATGATCAAGTGCCTCCCCCACCTCTATCAACAACCACTCAGATCCACATCCAGCCTTCTCTCTGGCGTAGACTGCTCCTAATGATGACCTTAGGGGAGCCATCCAGTTGGTTACTCAAATTGTGTCTTCTTAAGCTCAACAACTTTATGGTAGACCATTTTTGACTACTCATCAAGGGGATAAACAAGTTATATAGTGGACAAGTTCCTCAAGCTATGTCATCCTGTATCTCAGGTACCAAGCCCGAGGAGGACCCTCAAAAGTTTGTGGATGATATGCAAAAGGCCCTTCGTCTAATTCATGCTATTGAAATCAAGGTTGATAAGCTAGTTTGTTATATATTAAAATGTATGGCCTCCTTGTAGTATGAAATGTGGGAAGAGTCTCGTGGTAATGATGCTCCTCCGCAGTTTGGGATGAATTTACCAAGGGATTCATTGATAACTTCTTTCCCATTGTAATGCGAAAAGAAATGTCATGGAATTTGAGAGTTTGAAATAAGGCACCATGAGTGTGTGGAAATATCATTTGAAGTTCACCGAGATTTTTAGGTATACTCCATGTATGTTTCATAGCATAAGGGCTAGAGTTCGTCGAAGTGCAAGGCCTTGGGCCCCATGTCATCAACGAAGAGTCGCCTTGAATTCCTACATGACCTATAGCAAGATGGTGGTTTTTGTGTAGAAGAGAAAATCCTTCAAACAGAAAACAAGGTTAGAGAGAGAATAATAAGAAATCCCAATTTATGGGTAACTTTGGAGGTTCCTATAGTGGTAGTGGAAAAGGGTTGTACAAAAAGGGGTCATTTGGAACTACTTAGTCAGTTTCTAAGTCTTTAGTCAGTACACCATCATCGAGGCCTAATTAGATCCAATGGAGTCAGTATAGATAGAATCTGAGCTTCCAGGCACATATCCCATAGGTTCAAAGTATTTTGTGAGCCAATGTTCTTTGTCATGCCCCCTTGTGGTCGATGTTGAAAAGAAAACCTATAAGAGTGTCATTTGGGTACAAACAAGTGTTATGGTTATGGACAGAAGGTCCATCAGAAGATAAATTGTCCATCACCTCGACAGAGTTGTAGTGAGGGTGTAGCTCAGCCCACCAACTTAGAGGCTACTACTTCCTCATCACCATCCCTATCTCGTGACACTTAGAAACATGCTAGGCATGGCACATCTAGAGGTGGTGTGTAGGGTTCAAGAAGACCTGGTCATTTCTATGCAATTGGGCTGCTTGAGTTCAGAGGCATCTCCACATATCATTATTGCTATATGGCAATTCACTCTCACGATGTGTATGCTCTCATAGATCTAGTCTCTACGTTGTCTTATGTCACCTATTATGTTGCCATGAGATTTAGTATAGAACCAGAACATCATCGTGAGTGATTCTCTGTATCTACTCAGTTGGTGAATCTATAGTGTCCACACAGGTTTATAGGGATTTGCTATCATACTGCATGGCCGAGACACCACAGTTGACCTCACAAGTTGGTAATGGTAGAGTTTGATGTTATAATGGGAATGTATTCACTCTATTCTTGCTATGCCAAGTTAGATTATCAAACCAGAACTTTTAGATTTTAATTTTCAAATGAGCATGCTATTGAGTAGAAGGGGAATATGTCATGGCAAAGCATAAGTTATTTACTACCTTAAAGCATCAAAGATGATTACCAATGGATTCATCTTCCACTTAGTTCAGGTTATCGATAATGAAGTTGAAGTGTTGACTCTCCAATTAATGCTAGTTATGAATGAATTTCCTGAAATGTTTCCTAACAAGCTTCGTCGATTCCACGCGAGAGGGAGATTATTTTTTTTTGGGTTGATGGTTTGCCGGATATGCGACCTATATAGATTCTCCCATATAGAATTGCTCCAACAGAGTTGAAGGAGTTAAAAGAGCAGTTGGAAGATCTTTTAGAGAATGGTTTCATCCAACCAAGTGTGTCGCCTTGGGATGCACCAGTTCTCTTTATAAGGAAGATGGATGTTTCGTTGAAAATGTGCATCGACTATCGGCAGTTCAACAAAGTTACAATCAAGATCGACTTGAGGTTAGGGTATCACTAGTTGAAGATAAGAGAGAAGGAGTCCAAAGACGATTTTAGGACCCGCTAAGAACTCTTTGAGTTCTTGGTGATGTCCTTCTGGTTACCAAATGCTCTAGAACTTTCATGGTACTTATGAATCCGATTTTCAAGCCTTTTCTCCACATGTTCATGATGGTATTTATTGATGACATCCTTATTTGTTTATCAAGCTGAGAATACTATGACAACCACCTTAGGATAGTCTTGCAAACCCTTGAGAAGAACAAATTATGTGCAAAAGTTTCCAAATGTGAGTTTTGACATGAATTAGTGGCTTTCTTGGGTCATGTGATTTCTAGTAAAGGGATCAAAGTTGATCCTCAAAAGATAGCAACCATGAAGAATTGGTGTAGACCTACGTAATTGATGGAGGTTCGTAGTTTCTTGGGTTTGGTCGATTATTCAAGAAGGTTCATGGAGGGGGTTTTCTTCTCTTCCTTTCCATTGACCAAGTTGACCCAAAAAGTAGCTTAATCCAGTGGTAAATTTCTTTGGAGAAAAGTTTCGAAGAGTTTAGGGATAAATTGACCTTGGCACCAATGTTGACCTTATTAGAGGGTAATGATGCAACATGGCAAGGTAGTTGCTTATGCTAAGAGGAAACTCAAGAACCATGAGATGAATTATCCTATTCATGATTCGGAGCTTGCAGCAGTAGCATTTCAATGAATATTTGGAATCACTATTTATATGGTGTCTATGTGGATATATTCACGGTCCACAAGAGTCTCCAATATGTTTTCAAGCAAACAGAGTTGAATCTGAGGCAAACGAGATGACTTAAGCTACTCAAAGACTATGACATTAATATCCCTTATCATACATGGAAGGCCAATTTTGTAGTCGATGATATTATTTTAGAAGTCTATATGAAGTTTGTCTAATTTAAAATCACATCAAAAGCCATTGACAAGTTCAGTGATTAGCAAGTTTGGGAGTTATACTCATAGAATCTAGCGAGGGTAATATGATTATGCAAAACAGGACTGACTTGTCACTTATAGTGGAGGTAAAGGAGAAACAATATGATAATTCTTTCTTGGTGCAATGTAAATAAGGGAAACACAAAACAAGACTACAACTTTTGTGCCTGGAGTAAATGATGGCATGTTGAGGTACCAGGGTCGATTGTGAGTTCCTAAGGTTGACAGTCTTAGAGAGAGAATAATGAATGAGACACCCTATTCGAGGTACTCTGTGCATCCAGATTCTATAAATATGTACCATAATCTCAAGAAGATCTATTGGGAAAATGACATGAAACAAATATAGTCGAATTTGTTGTTAGATGTACTAATTTGTCAATAAGTGAAAACCGAGCACCAAAAGCCTGGTGGACTGGCACAGAACATTGAAATTCCAATATGAAAATGGGAGATGCTCAATATGGCTGTTGTTGTAGGTATACCTTGCACACGTCCAAAATTTAACTCGGTTTGGGTAATTTTTGACCGACTTAAAATATCAACCCACTTTTTGCCTGTAAAGACTACTGATAGCGCGAAACATTATGATCAGTTATATCTCAGGGAAATAGTTAGGTTGCACGATAGTCCAATTTCTATAATGTCAGAATGAGGTGCGTAGTTCATAGCCAACTTCTGGAAAAGATTTCAGCAAGGTTTGGGTACTCTGAAAAATCTCAGCATAGCTTTTCATCCCAAACTTGTCGAGCAAGCCGAACGATCTATTTAGATGCTCGAGGACATGTTGAGGGCATGTGTTCTTGACCAAAATGGTAGTTGGGATGATTATTTACCACTCATCAAATTCTCATATAATAATAGCTATCACGTGAACATTCAAATGGCTCCATTTGAATCTTTTTATGGGAGGAGATTTTGGTCTCCTATTGGGTGGTTCTAGGTTGGTGAAGCAAAATTGATCGGCCCTGACCTTGTCCACCATGTTACGGAAAGGTCAAGGTCATAGAAGAATAGTTGAAGACTGCTCAAGGATTCCAGAATTCTTATTCAGATGTACGACGAAGGGTCTTAGAATTCAAAGATGATTGAGTCCAAGGTACATTTGGACTTATAGAATACTTAAGATAATAAGCCAAGTATCTTATGAGCATGAATTGTCTCAAGAGTTGTCCTTCGTGCAGCCTGTGTTCCATGTGTCTATATTGAAGTAAGTGATAGGAGACCTGTCACTCATCATCCCTATGGAGAACATTGAGATTAATGAAGAGTTGACTTATGAAGAAGTTTTAGTTGCCATACTTGATAGGAAAGTCCAAAAGTTGAGAACCAAAGAGGTCGCTTACTGTTAAAGTGCTATGTCTAAACTAACATGTTGAAGAAACAACTTGGGAGGCAGAAGAAAATATAAAGAAAAGATATCCCTACTTGTTCGTAGAATAAGATGATAATATGTAAAGACTATTAAAGTCCTTTCATTTCATGTACTATGTTTTATGCTATGAATAAATTCATGTAATTGTACATTCATGACTTGGAGGAATTATGATATGACTAATTCTAAGGAAATGAAATGAAATGATATGTTGTGCCTTGTATGGATTATAAATATGTTTCTTTGATTGATTTATGTGGCTCACTGACAGGTGGATAGGCCTAAATATAAAGCAAACTCTACCAAAAATTTTAGAAATTTGGGGAATTAGTCAAAAGTTTGAAGCGTCACAGCTTGAGGGTGAGTAACGAAGGATTAAGGATGGTGGTTACATGGAAGCTNGGGGGAGATTGTAAGGCTTCTAAAAATTTTCTATAAGTATAAGGCCTTAAAGTGTGACCATAAGTTACTTGATTATCGTATTGCATGCCGCGAATGGCAGTGGATGAGGACTACATCATAAGAACGTGGTTTCTTACTCATATGAAGGTTTAGAAGTTGGGTTGATAACATAGCAAGGTAACCAAAGGAATTGAGTAAGAAAATAAGGAAATATAAAGAAATTCGAGGGTGGCTCGTATGGGGGCCTACGTCGCGGAACCTAGGGATGAGTCAGGCCGTCCAGCATTTGTTAGGGGCAGTAACTCATGGCCATCACGAGCTCCATCATGAGAAACAGAAAAATGGAAGGGAGGGCTTGTCTCTAGGTCTTGTGTCACCAGCCAGCATGATGAGGGCTCGTCAGCAGTCCTCGCGACACGAGGAGGGCAGACGAGCCAACTTTGAAGCCTTTTAAAGGTATTTTCAGGGCTCATTTTCTCCATTTCACTTTGGCTGATTTTGGAGGTGCTCTCTCCAATCTATACACTCTCAACCTCTCCCTCACCCAAGGTAAGAATTTACCATGAATCTTGTGTTTAATCTCTACATTTTTAGACAAAAATTGACATCATCTACTCATGGAACACCTAAGGTTTTCTTGAATAATCGCAATAGCTTAGGTGACAGATTTTTGTAAGGTTTCTTCTAAAGATAATTATACACCTTTGAACTTACAAATATAGATTATTAGTGAGTATATGTTTAAATAATAAGTATTAGAACTTATGAGATGGTGATTGAAAGTCGTAGATTTCTAACCTTAATTTGTGGATTTTTCGAGCATGAGAAATAGTTTAACTGATGAAATTGGCTAGTTGGGAGTTAGTTGTTGATGGAGCATGTGTTATGGCGGTCATAGTTGCTCAAGAGTGGTTGTAGTTTAATCGTTGGCGTGAAGAATTGTTGGTTGGGCAAGAAAATACCATTGAAGAAGGTTTTCTTTCTTAGAGCACACTAGGTGCTTGAAAAAATGCCTAAGTAACCTAAATCATGGGTATCTTAATTATATTGGCTCCATTTGATTCGACTTATTGTAGATTGAAGCTGTAGAGTTAGAGCCTGCTGGCCAAGCTTCTTGGAGGACAAACGTATTTTTTTTGTCAAAAAAGTACTTTTTGAAAAATTTAAGGTATTTGGCCAAAATAAAAAAATACTTTTGGCCAACAACAGAAGTAGTTTTTCTACTTTTGGGAAGAAGCAGAAAATTCTAGCTTTACATTTTCTAGCTCACCATAAATTTATATTTTTTAAATTATCCTTTACATTTTCTTTCCTTATATATATATATATACGTGTATAACTTTTCTACCATCAGATACATGAATCATGTAAACTTTTCAAATTCGTTTTTTGTCTTTTCATTTGTTTTAGCTTCTTTCGCTTGGATAGTTCTTTTTTTCTTTTTAATTTTTCTAATATCTACCATTATTTTAAAAATTAAAGATATTAAATACATGAATCATCTTGTAACTTTACAAATTGTTTTTTGACTTTTCTTGTTTTTGATGTTTTCTTTGACTGATCTTGTTTTTTTTTGTTTCTCTAAATTAATAGATCTCCTAGACTTCTCCCAATAACTTTAATAGATTCATCTCCTTGAATACTTTATGCAAAATGAAAAGTCCTATCTATTACTATAAATAGAGTTCTTCTCCCTTTTTCTGATGCAGATTCTTCTTCTTTGTCTCCTATTCCTCTTTAAAATAACAAACTAACAACCAATACAAGTACTTTTTTCATAAGGTATGTTTTTTTGTAGTGTACCAATTTATTATACGCAATATCTAGTATGTATTTTTATTTTTATTCTTTTTTAACGTGCATGCATGTACCAATGATAACACTGATTTCTAATAATATGAGTATAGTTGAAATTTTTCCCTTGATGCTCTTATTTTTTGTATCTTTCTCTTTTTTTATTTTATTTAGTTCTCTATTTGTTTAATATTATTATTAACCACATGTTCTTAATGCATGAAAGAAAATGACACTGGATAACAACTCTGAGAAGGCTAAATGGGATGAAGAAACCACATAACTATTTTTAAATATATGTGTGGAAGAAATTTTAGCAGAAAATAGTCCTGGAACTCACCTCAGTAGATTAGGATGGTCTAATCTGGTGCAAAAGTTTAATGACAAAACCGGAAGAAACTATGATAAAGTTAAGTTGAAGAACAAATGGGACAACCTCAAAGGTACATGGAAAGAATGGGATATTTTAGTTGGAAAAGAGACTGGTTTAGGATGGGATCCCGGTAAAAAAATAATTCAAGCGAGTGCAGATTGGTGGGATAGAAAAATAAAGGTACTTGTAATTCTACTACTTAATTTTTCACTTAACATAATTTTATTTATTTATTTTGCTTTGGTATTTTAAATTCTATTTTTCTTCTTTACATTTGTAAGAGAATCCAAATGTAGAGAAATTTAGAGAGAAAGGTTTACAACATCGATAACTGATGAAGTATTATTTTAAGGATGTTGTTGCAACCGGTGAACATACGTGGGCACCGTCATCTGGAGTGTCACCAGATGGTATACAAGGAAGCAGTTGGTTTCGACCAGAACAACTATTTGAGTTTAGAACTCCTATAGACAATGAAGAGTTTGTGAATATTGATGACATAGAAAAGAATATAGAAAGGGATTCGAACAAACTAATCGAGAAGAATCGAATGTGATTGAAAACGTGCGTGGTAGTGATAGTGGTGAGAGAATAAAAAGAAGCATCAACTGCTATAAATGAAAAAGAGAAAAATAAATTCAATACCAGTCTAAGAATTACATCATCAATAGACTCTTCACATAGTATTAAGTATGTAATGGATGTTGTTCGTAATTTACCCGGTATGATTGTTGGTAGCGATTTATGGTGGAAAGCAAGTGTGCTACTAGTCAAGCAACCAATAAGAGAAATGTTTTTAGCACAGGAAGATCCAAAATTACAATTGCAGTAGTTGGAAAAGATGTCTGAGCTTCAAAAAGAATAAATTTAATGATATTACCTATTATTATCTGCATTATTTTTCTAGTTATTGGAACTTTAAATTTGCTTTAAAATGTTGTTCTAATTATGCTTTATGGTTATTGGAATGTATATTTGACTTTTATTCAAGTTACTAATATTTATTTTGAAATATTGGAATTTTATGTCGTTGTACTTGGGTGATTTTTAATTTTTTTTTATAACAAGTATATAGATTGTTATTCAAGCAATTTTATTTTGTTCTTTTTCTTACAGATGTGTCATTCACAGTAAATAATGATGAGCATGTTGATGAATTCTTATAAATGAAATAGAAGACGATGATGATGTACTTGATTTGGTAATTTTCAGTGTAGCTTTCGCATCAGAATATTATTTAAAATTTTGTCTAAAAACTCCATTGAGAACTTCTCCTCATACAGGATTTTATTTCATCAAGGAGATACTTGAAGGGCATGATAATAGATGTTATGAGATGTTTGGGATGGAAAACATATATTTCTTGACTTATGCAAAACATTAAATGAACAGTATGATTTGAAAGCAACAAGAAAAATGACCATAGAGGAGATGGTTGCTATGTTTTTACTGGTGGCCGAACATGGTGTAGGGAATCGAATGATTCAAGAACGATTCCAACACTCTGGAGAGGTTGTTAGCAAATATTTTTATCATATTTTGATAGCATGTTTGAAATTGGCTATGGATATTATTAAGACAAAAGATCCAACCTTTTCTGATATTAAACCTAAAATAAGAGAAGATGACAGATATTGGCCATATTTTAAAAATTGCATTGGAGCTATAGATGGCATACACGTGCCTTGTATTGTTCGCTCTAAGGAACAAATCAAATACATTGGTAGAAAAGGCTTCACTTCACAAAACATAATGGCTGTATGTGATTGGGACATGTGCTTCACATTTGTATGGCCTGGGTGGAAAGGTACTGCGCATAATGCTAGAATATTTGATTAGGCACTTAGAAGGCAAAACCTTAACTTTCCTCATCCTCCATCATGTAAGCAACACTAATACTATGCCTTGTGTTATTTTAATATGTAGATTTTATTTTTATTCATCTTATTTAACTCTTTTTTACTTGGTGTAGGTAAATATAATTTAGTTGATTCAGGTTATCCAACAACGATTGGTTATTTAGGATCGTATAAGGGGGATCGATATAATCTCCCAGATTTCAAGCGCAACTCTAATTTTAGAAATCCAAATGAGGCATTCAATTTTTTTTACTCCAGTCTTCGATGTACAATTGAAAGAAAATTTGGAGTCTAGAAAAATAGGTTTTCTATTTTACGCTCAATGCCATCTTTCAAGTTTGACATTCAGATTCATCTTGTTACAACTACCATAGTTATACATAATTTCATCCGACGACATTCTTTTACTAATAAGGAGTTCAACTATTATGCTAATGAAAATATTATTGCAGAGATTGAGGAAGGAGATGGGCCGTTTGGTATTCCTTTAGAAATGCAAGACAAGTCTTCTACCATTATGGAGGCGTTGCGTAATACATTAAGAGATGAAATTGTTGAGAAATATTATCATGTGTGAGTGACTTTGCTTATTATTTCATGGTTGATTATCAATATAGAGTAATTTATGAAATAAATTTTAAGTTATACTGAATGACATATTTTGATTATTCAAATCATGGTGTAAATAACAAGTAATTATACTAGATAATATTATTGCTTTAGTATAACTATATATGTTACAATAATTTAAATATTTATTATGTATGTTTACTTTGTTTATATTTTAATTAAATTAAATAAAAAATAATAATAACAATCTCTTATAATAAATATTTAAATTTTTTTAAAATAATTATAAAACCTTGGCACTATCCTTTTTTGGTAATTTGACACTCAAAAGCACTTTTTATAAAGATTGACCAAACACAATTTGTTTATCAAATATTGCAAAAAGTACCTCTTAAATGAATTGGCCAAACACAAATTATTATTTTTTAAAAATACTTTTGAAAAGGTACTTTTAGAAGAAAGTACTTTTAAAAATAAACAATTTTTGGCACCTTGGCCAAACAGGCTCTTAGTTGTACATGGTAGTACCCTAAAAAATGAAATTGAGGTATTTTTGGCCAAACTCTTCCTATAGAATCATTTTGCTAAAAATACCATGCTCACTACACATGATCTCATGGCTTAATAACTTTCAAATTATTAGTATATAGCTGTGAGTGACAAGTAATCATATTCTATCTATTTGATCTCTACAAGAGTTAACCTTTCATATGCTACGTTTTCACTAGACAAAAATGCTATTAAAGTTTCAAGTTCTCTAATAAATGAACATGATTTTAAGGCCTTCCAAGAACTTAAATGCGACTTTCTGATTCATACTAATTAATATAGATGTTTTTGAAGTGACGTGTGACTATTAAGCCTAACTTAAGTATTTATGACCTAAGGGCCAAAAGTGCCATCTATTATTATTTAAGGACAAAAGTGCCAAGTGAAAAAGAAAGTTTTGGGAGTATCTTTAGAGAGTTAAGAAGGTTTGGAAATAATTGAAACCCAAAACTACACATGCATTAGGTAAATAATCGGACCATGGGTTGGACTGGACGACTACACATATATATATACACCCTTGATTTGGAATCATGATTGCTAGAACGTGATCAAAATCACACGATATGGTGGTGGTGACGCCTAGTCGATGTAGGAGGGGCTCGACTTCCATGTATGTATACATGGTGACAGATTATAATATCGGTGCTAGGGACTCCCTCCGGAAATGAAAAGGTCTGTCTAAAAGATTAAAGCTCAATTATGTTTGCTTTATAGGCTTTTAGTATTACATTGCATATTACTCTTTCATGTTTTCCTTTACACATGCCCTTGTCCCATTTTATGTGAGGGAATTTATCTACACATACAAGTACTATTCTACATGTACTTACGTCTTTTATTCGGGGGCGCTACATCTTTTAAAGGATTTAGGCTGCCTAACTTGGACGATGTGGCTCTTCGCTAGGTACTTCCCTCATTTCCAGCAGGCATTAATGAGCCTCCTTCATGTTTGGGGCTATCTTTTGATGTTTCAAACTATGATATTTATTTTATGTATTGCCAAGGCCCTATCACCAATATTTGTTTTTCATGTTATCATAGAAGCTACATAGACATGTGGGTTTAGACTATGCATTTTTATTAATTTTCATTGAAGTGTCATGGTATATATAACAACTACTTTATTTATGTAATGTTTCCAAATTAATGGAAGGCAACGTTTTAAACAAAGGACCAACATGTGTCATACATGGATTATGAATGATAAGCAAAGGAAGACTGATCCACTCGGTCATAGGTTTAAGGCACCGGGTGCCATGTTCTGCTCCCAAGGTTAGGGTGTGTCAGTATAGGTTGTTTCCTAGTTATCTTGGCCTCTAATCAAAGCTTCCTCTCCAAGTAGTTTATAAAATTAATGGACATTCACTATAATATTATTTATAACACTCCCCATTGAATAACCGTTAATAGATGATATGCCTCAAAACAATTTGACTAGAACAAATCCCGTGAGAAAAAAGTCATAGTGAAGAAAAAAGAGTAGCATATCTAGTAATATGCATTACAATTTACCCCATTAAAATCTTACTAGAAAAATCCAGTGGGACAAAGATTTTATTAAGAGAAAAAGTATGTAACGCGTATTATACTCCTTCTGATGAAAATGTCGGTTAATATCTTTGAGGCAACATATTGTGATCTTGCATGCCAGCTTCTTAAATGTAGAGAAAGATGGTGCCTTGGTGAAGAGATCTTCCAAATTATCTCTTGAACAAACTGGTTGAACGTTTTATCACCTACTTTTGATTAAGCTCCAATATTGTTTTTATACAATGTTGTTGGAATTTGCCTTTCTACATGAATATCACATATTTCCTGTAAATATTACATTCTTGATCTGTTATGACCCAAAATTCTACCTAGTGGTGATGACACTTAACCTGACTCACTAGGTAAGTCAAGCAGTATAATTTACAACTATAGTGAGAAATCATTAATATTAATAATAAAGACTGCAAAAGAATTCACAACAACTATCCCAAGGACTAGTAGTACATGTTATGAGCCATTAAGCTTTAGATTTATAAAACTAATGTGAAGAATAAATACAATATAAGTTTGAAACTTACATAAACAGAAATGAAGTCCTAAACTACCACGAACAAAAGACAGCTTGAATTTAGAATGTTGGCACGTCTTCAATGCAAGGCTTCATCTTCCACAGCTACTCAGCTCCAAGATCTGCACGCAAGGTGCAAAAATATAGTATGAGTACAACCGCTCCTATGTACTTAGTAAGTATCTTGATGAACCTCGATAAAGTAGTGGCGAGGTTTTTAAGTCAAAAGTTACTCACTAACATTACCTGTGCAATTCGTAAGCAAGAGAAATAACAAGATAAAAGACAAATAACATTGAAAGAGTCAAATAAAAGAAATAACGAGCATGATCAAGCATAACAACCGAGCCTTTCTCAATAAACGTGTAAAAGATATTAAGTCAAATGGTACGGCAACACCTTTGTGATTTTAGCCCATCCTCACTAAGCATACGTATATATGTCAAATCAAATGGTATGAAAACACCCTTCTTGCATTTATCTCATCATCACCAAGTATAAGTATAGCAATACCAAACAAAGTAGAAGGCATATCGATGTAACAACAGTAAACAAGGTAGAAGACATAGATGTAACAACACAAGCAATTAGAAGGCATGTAGATAATAGTAACAAACAAGATCAAAGGCATGTAGGTGACAACAGTAAACCAGATAGGAGGCATAGATGTAAAAAAATCAAGAAAAGTTGAAGACATGTATTTAACAACCAAACAAGATAGAATGCATATATGTAACACAAGATACGGAAACACCCTTCATCAATAATATTAATGTCATAAAGCATGAAAATACCCTTCATACATAAATCACTCTTTCTCATAAGCATGAAAACACCCTTCGTGCCATTCACTCTTTCTCACTAAGCATATATATATATATATATATATATAAAATAGTACCAAACAAGGTTGGAAGCACAAAGAACATCAAGAAGAGTGATTTAGCATAATACTCCACGTGAAAGATATTCATAACTTTTGTACCAATAGGAGAGCCAACATTTCGAGAACCATAATATTCAAATATTTCAACAAAACTTAAACATGATATTTAACATGAATATGGGAACTTAAATATCACAAGAATAACATATATAGATAGGTTTTCATGATATAAAGTATGTCTTCAACTAAATCAAATATATTAGCAATCTTGAGAATAGTTCTCCGCGTTCTATTAAGATATTCATAAGTAAAACATGATCTTTGTCATGGATATCTATACTCATATATTCATAGAAGCAAATGAAACATAAGTCAAGAAGAACACAAAGTTCCACAAGGCACTTAAAAGCATATAATCACCCCGAGCATGAATAACCCTAGCACATGCATATACCCTCGTTACCTCGCATATGAATTACCCCCTCTTGTAGCAAACAATATCATTTATTGGGAAAAATTCTCTCAAACCAAAGGTAGGCAA